GTGAAAGAATTTATTGCATTTAATTTAAAACCGGAATTTTCTTTGTCAAGCATTTCAATGGAGTTACGGATTACTTACTACTTTGCTCGACTATGGCTATATTTATTTTTTTATATATATTCAATTTTTTCATGTATTTTTTTCATTTCTTAACATTTTTTTCAATATGACTTAATTGAATTTTTCAACCTACAGAAATATGAACTCTCAGGACCGACGCTTATAATCTTGATATTTAAGAAGTATTAATAAAATGGGTGAATTTCATGGAAGAAAATGTGTTTACCAATTTTGTAATTAGCTGTTAAGATATTTTCCAGATCTGCCGATTCGAATAAATTAACACAAGCAGGGCAGTTGTAGTCGTTGAATCTCGTAAAACCACTACTATGCTTTTCGCATACTACTCTCCAAATTCCTTTATTTGATAACCATATCGCTGGCATTATTAGGACAAAATTAATCGCGATGTCTACCATATTCATTTTAAAAGTAGTTTTTTTACTCTTAAACATTCTGTCTTGTTTGACTTACGATAAATAAGCGCAAAACCTCAAAAAAGTGAAAAAAATTAGATTCAATTACTTATAACTTTTTGTGGGCATGGCCGACTTTTTCCATTTTAGCACGTACAGAATAGAGTGTTTCGTGAAGTGAAAATTGAGAATTTCAACCTTCTAACTTTTATAATTTCTGAATAACAAACAAAAACCCACAAATTGTTATTAAGAAAACCGGAATTGCGTTCAGTTTACGCTTCACTGCCGGCGTCTGTCCTGACCAATTTGGCCCATTTTCAAAAACAACCTGCGAATAGAACCTTCCAATGTATCTCCTAATTAGTTCGGGCGGATTCGTAGTTGATGACGGTTACGGTGTCACAGTATTGCCTGTGAAAACCTAATATTCTTTCATATTTCCGCCAAAAGGTCATGCGAAACAACCGTAAGTTTAACGACGAGCGAACGCTCTAAGAATTTCTCTCTAATTTCAATATTTTGCTCATCGTTTTGCTGACAACATTTGTAGAGCATTGGATATACGTGCCATGTTTGAGTTGCATACGAAACAAAATCCTATTGTTAGTAAAAAATCTATGACCAATGGTTCATCCAGCAACATTGATTCGACAAAATCAAAATAATGAAATTTCTTAAGTTTTAAGTTTCGTCTATTGAAATTATTTGTTTAGCCTTTCATTTCTGTTTTTTTTTTTTTGAATTGTTGTGTGGAGTTGGACTAAGCCAATGGATTTGTGGCTTTTATGTCCAGAAGCCTTTCATTTCAAATTATATTGTTTTTGCCCGGCAATAATTAAGACAACAGCTGTAGCAGAACCATAAAAAGCATATCCAGCTGCTATGATTTTTTTCCACCACATCTTCGCATTTAACAGAAAGTATTATGTCTTTTCTGTTACTTCTGCTCATTTAACAGAAACGATGATGTCTTTGATGTTCACGCACGGTACTGTTTTTTTATAAACTTTGTAAAGGAAAAAAGGAGCTAATGGATTTTAGCGAGAAATCAAGGCCATTTTACAAGGGCGTTCATGAAAATTATGCATTTACATAAAGTTAGAATGCATTATTTTTCATGTGGAAGAAAAGGTAGCGAAGTGGTAAAGGTTGGTTTGCCCGACAATAGCATTCTTACCTGAGACACGAAGATATATTTGATTTGTCGTTCCATTTGTAGCTGTCAGAAATACCCAACAAAGTATATACATACAGAGCAGACCTATCATTGGATCTCTTCTTCGTGACGGATATGATTCATGCTTCTCAATAAGATCTGGGCTCTGCTTTCCTTTACCAGCATTCATTCTTCGTATCTGTAGAAAGTAATACGACTAAAGTGGTGCAGGAATTGTGGGGCGTTGATCCAGTTTCCTGCTTTTCGCAGTTAGACAATAACAGCTTCGCGGATTTATATAACACAAAATCGTTGATTAGCTGAGGATTTTCAAACCGGCTATAATGGAAATATTTAATAGCAATGTAGTTTTAAAAAATTTGTTCTCTCGGAAAGAAGAAAAGCGGCTGAAATCACAAAACATAAAGTTTACTAGGAATAGTGGGGATTTAGCTTCGCGGACGCTTTAGGGAAATAAATCCGAGAATAGTCGTGACCTTTTCAATAAATATCGAAATAAGATGGAAAGCGTGTTATGAGGCGATTTTTTATTCGGACTAAGGGTTAAAGAGATTGGGAAAAACATCGCCATATTTACGGAAAGCCTAGGTGGGTTACTTATGTACACAATAAACGCGGCGGAAACTCGTACCAGTGGACATAGACAATTGGACTTGTTTGCGTAGTGGTGTTGCCTTAGTGAAAGCATTCAGAAAACGACATGCAAAAGTTAAGGTGACCAGCTTTTGTATTTCAATTATTAACGCTTCGTCTTCCATATGAAGATTTGAAGTTTAAATCAACGTTTGCCGATCCCAAATCTCCAGAAGCTTAGAATTTAATGTTTTCCTTTGTGCAATACACAACTGTACTTTCGCTGAATTGCTTCATAATACGACTTATTCGCAAGAACTTCCTACAGCATAGAGGTCAGAGAACTAGTTATCTTCAAGACAATGTTAATATTGACTTACAAGGGTTACCGAGGACTGGCCGGAATGAAATTTCTTATATGTGAATTTTTCAAAAACACCGGCTTTGTGGTTTTCTTCTAATAGTTTGTCTCCTCATTTATGATGAATTAATAGCACGATAGACTTTGTGTTTTATTACAAAACTATAGATGCGTACATGTCGGCACATTTTGATAACTGCATTAATCACATTACATCGAAAGTGTATTTAGCCGTACGACGTATACCTTGCCTGATTTGGTGAGAAGACAAGCTGCTATGGGGTTATGCTTTGTTTTTTTTCTTAGTTATACCGGCCGTCCATAGACATATGACATCTTATATAACCATGTTAGTCATGTTAGGTTTGAGGATTTCTTGAGATTGGTAATCATTCTAGTGCTTTATAAAATTATTAAGTTTACCTTTCCCGTCTAGCTTTGGCCAATCAGCTCGAACGTGTTTTTTTAAATTTCCCTAAGTGTTCGACTTTGTCATAAATCGAAAGTTTGTAGTTCAAGCAACCAGATGGCGGAATCAAACAGTAACTTACGAGGAGCGAAGATTTTCAAGACAAGATTTCAATGCTGTTCTGAAAACGCGTTTTTACTTTTTCTTCATCTTATCATATTTTCCGTTTTTGTTGTTGTCACTTTTAATTTTAGTGCAAAAATGGGCGTGTGTATTTATTATTATTTAGTAATAACCTATAATGCATATTTTATTATAAAATAAAGAAATCAAGATAAACATAATGTAGAAAAAATTTGCATTAGTATGAGATAAACATAAGTTAGACAAATAACCTTAAAATTAAGGGAAAACGATTATCATTTCTTGTTATGTTCTTTTTTTTATTGTTGATTTGTCAATTCGCATTATATTTTCAAAAAAGTCGGCAAACCTAACGTCCCAACCCGAAAGTAGGAATAACGCCTCATTGTGTTAGCGCGCTCAGGGCTGATAATCAATAATATAAAAAAAGGACATTATAGTCGGGCAAGGCCAACCATTAAATACTCTACACCACATTGTCTAACACAAATCTTATTTTTATTATAGAACACAAAAGTTATGTCTTCTTCCTATATAGAGACATATTTTTCATGGGCGTATTTATGGGGAAGCGGGTCAAAAACGTAATGTAGTACATGTTTAATCGTTACACGTTGCAGGGGACAAAAATAAGCGTAGACGGTTCAAATTTTGCAGAATTCATTATTGTTTGAAATTAATATAACATTATGGGTCAATTTCCAGCATCACTTGCTAAAACGTAAACATTCCTGCTCTATCAAGGATCAATTTTCGTGAAAATCATTATTAAGATAGGACCTAAAATATAGGCCGAGATGGTCCAAATTTTGTAGGGTTCATTTTTGTATGAAATTGCTATTATGATATAATCTTGATCGTGAAGCATTGAAAATTATACTTTTTTGTCGTGTGAACATCAATTTTCGTTATATACGAGGAGTTTCAAAAATTGCCCCAACCAGTTCAAGGTTTTCGTAGCAACTTAGATCGCCGAAATACTACACATAGCCGCTTTTGCAGAGAAATGTAGAACATTGCAAATTTTTCAGAATAAGGCGTTATATAAGGAGTGTTCGAAAAAGCGAACCGACCCGAAACATTTTCAATAGCTTTCGTCCTTGCGTCAAAACATGTCACTTTACCAATTTTCATAGGAATATTTCAAAAATTGTGGCTTGTAGCTTCAACACAAAATTTCAATTGACAGAATCAGGCGGACAGACAAGCTTAGATCAATTCAGATTATAATTCCGGATTGATCGGTACAATAAAAATTGGGTCTATTTTAAGCCCTTCAGCGTTTTACATGCGTGCGCATTAACATAATATACCCTATGCCTCAAGTGGGGAGGGAAATATAAAGAAGTAATAATATATATGAATTGTAATAATTATATCTAAACCCTTAAGACCCACGCAAATAACTCTGTGTTCGATTAGGTCTTTTTTACACATCTCAGTGAATTTTCGTTTGTGATTTGCTGAATAGAAGAAGAAGAAATTTTTATTTTATTTGTAGAATTAAAATGCAAAATATAAGTTCGCAAAGATTCTTGCAAAACTCTTTCGATGTAAGACAATGGACCCGAAAAATGGCAATTTTAGCGAAAGCATTGAAATTTTCTAATTACGGCGAACCTGCTGATGTTCTTGAATTGGCGCAGGAACCGTTACCATCGCCAGAAAAGAACCAAGTTCTTGTGAAAATTTTAGCGGCTCCCATAAACCCTGCGGACATTAACACTATACAAGGCGAGTATAGCTATCGTCTCTGCATTTGCTACTTTTCTATAACATTGAAGTTAAAATACAATTATAGGTAAATATCCAGTAAAGCCTAAATTTCCAGCCATTGCCGGCAACGAGTGCGTCGCAGAAATTCAAGAAGTGGGTTCATGTGTTAAAAATCTTAAAAAAGGACAACGTGTCGTACCATTTGTGACGGGCTTAGGAACTTGGTCAACACATGCCATCTATGACGAAGATCAGTTATTGCCAATTTCGGATACAATTGGATTAGCCGAGGCTGCAACACTTACAGTAAATCCTTGTACAGCCTATCGAATGTTAAAAGATTTCGTAGAAGTTTTACCTGGACACTGCGTTATACAGAATGGAGCTAATAGTGCTGTAGGTCAGGCAGTGCATCAATTGTGCAAAGCATGGGGAATAAATTCGGTTGGGGTTGTACGTGATCGTCCCGGCATTCAGGACCTGAAAAATTATCTTAAAAAATTAGGTGCCACGGAAGTCTTAACCGAAGAAGAAGTTCGTGCCAGTAAAATTTTTAAAGAAAATCAACTTCCGAAGCCTATGCTGGCTCTTAATTGTGTCGGAGGAAAAAGTGCTACCGAAATTAGTCGCCATTTAGATGACAAGGGTGTTATGGTCACATATGGCGGTATGGCAAGAGAGCCAATTGCGGTTGCTACTGCCTCTTTAATATTTAAAGATATTTCGTTTCGCGGTTTCTGGATGACACGTTGGACCAAGGAAAATAGCACGGCCCCTGAAAGATTCAAAATGTTTGAAGATTTGTTGAAACTGATAGAGCAAAAGCAATTTATAGCTCCCGTACATGAAATGGTGCCTTTAGAGAAATATAAAGATGCTACGAAGGCATCGTTAGATTTTAAGGGACTCATTGGAAAAAAATACATATTGAGTATGCATTAGTAAGGAAAACAAATGTTGTATTCTAATATGTAATGAACGACTCAAGGCATAGGATAGCGTGTGTGTTCTTTAAAATCTGCGACTATTAAAATGATCGCAGGTTGTTTGCACTGCGTTCGGATTAATCAGTTGTAATTCTTTTCCATCATATACATTGGGTCACATCCGAAAATAATTTTCGTGATTTAATTGCAGTCAGTCAGTTCCTTTGGTAAGGCCTCGTCGTTTTCGTTTTGTTTTTTGTTTATTCATTTTGGCCGAAAAATATACGGTTGAGAAAAGATTGCGAATTATCAAAGCTCCGCCATAAAAACGTGCCTTCGATTACTGCTACTTAATGTGCTTCAAAACAAGTTGATCTTTGATGTACTTGCCGCGAGCTATTGAAAAACATTTGGTAACAAATTGATTATATCATAACAGACTCGCACTCACAAAAAAACTGAAAGGAAAGGAAAGGAAAAGGGCAGCGAATTTATAGAATATGTACGTGTTTCCCCTTAGTGCAGATTTGAACAAATGGAAAGACATCTAGAACTCAGAGGCGTGCTAAAGGGTGAAATAAAACTCAGTCACCGACAGTAGTGAGAAATGTTTTAAAGCACAGCGTGAGAATATTGTCAGTTGCAGGTGAAATTATTGATTTTAGTTCATATTAGATACTTATCACAAATATAAAAATAAACAACAAGTATGAATCTAATTGCTAAGTATAAAAAAAAATTTACGCTTAGCTTAACTTGAATAGAAGTCGACGTCAAGTATAATTTTAGCCAGACGTAGATGATGATTACAATATGTTTGCTGGAGAGCTAATTGATCGACCTAACAATATTTTTCAATCGGAGCGGATTTCTTTTCAAATTTAGTGGACAGCCTTGCTTATAAGTACGAACGAAATTTTAGAAATTTGTTTACAGTCTTGAAACCATTTTCAAATCTTAACTTACGTAAATAAATTTTCAGTTTTTTTATAATGACGTACAAAGCAAATCTCAGGAATTATGTCCGAAAAGTAAAAGTTTTTTTTTGTGCGGTGCGATCGCAAAAATAGTCCGTTCCAATCCAGTAGGTTCCCCTCTTAATTTTTTGATAGTGATGGTCTCTCTGCTTATTTAGTTCTCTTTGATTTGCGTCAATTTTTAAACGAATACAATGCAGTAATCGTCCAAATAGCACGGTAGATTAGTTCCACGTTATAGGATGGTCATACAACGCGTATAACGCGTTAAGGACAAATGATTTTCCAGTTTGTGTGTGTGAGTGTAGTTTTGGAAATTCTAAAAATCTGCTTTAAGCCAAATTAAATTTTTTTCAGAAGTTTTTTCTTTAAAACGTTAGCCTTGCATATCGAATTACATTTCTGTTGGTCGAAGAGGCTGACCGGACCTTCTTAACGTCTATAATTTTGAAATAATAAATTGAACTCTTGCAGTAAACCAAAATATGAAATCTTTCATAGCGTCTTCACATTTTGCAATTCAGTTATACTTTACTGATTCTAATATGCAAAAATACAATAAATAGAACTAATGGCCGAGAAACTGTCTCGCTTTTCAAAATGTCATTTCTTGTCGATCGTCTCGAAGAGTTTTACTCGCACTATTTTTGTTTGAAAACGATAGAATCAGAGTTGCCTTTGCTTCCAATGGAGAAAGCAACGTTCGAACTCAGCATTGCCTTGTAAGGCGTTATTACAACTTTTCCGTTCGAAAATAAGGACTTGTCGGTGGTTTGAAATTGCAGAGATACCAACGATGCTTGAACCCTGACGAAGGTCAAAAGAGCAAAAGTAAAAAATTTGAGACCTATTTTCGATAATCGTGATATGAAGCTGCAGGAAGTAGCTGCCATCCTAAAAATATCAAAGGGCGATATATGTAAAGCTCTAGCTCTGCATGATAATATGGAGATGTAAAGCTTTTTCTTGAACACATTACTTACAAGGTGCACTAGCCCAACTGCTCCGGTAAAAAAGTCAATATCAAGTGATGATATCACTTTCGAGACGGAGCATATTTTTCGAACACTAAAAAGTTCTGCAAAAGTAAGGCATCGAAATATTAGAGAAACATTGAGGTTATGTTGTTTAACAAAAGCCCAGATTCACAAAAAAAAAAAAACATTTCTTTCATACATAATCGCGGAAACTGGTGACTAATGTATTAATTTTCAAGTTGTTCGTTGACTTATTGAAAAGTTGTTTTAAGGCGAATAAGTAACACTTTCGACTTAATTGTTTACATTAATTTCATAAAACTTTTAGTCCAATTTGCTGTAAAATTCTAGTAAATCTTTGTTTAATGTCAGGCCACCTTCATAGCATTTTCCGAATCCTTGTGAAACATTTGGTCGGCCATATATTGCAGACCTCGGATCATTCTGA